GAGGAAGGGTTGGCAGGAGGGGCCTGCGAGCTGCCCAGGGGCATGCCTGTGCCCTAAGGCCAGGATGGTCCTGGCCAGATGGGGGCTTTGGGAAGGCCACCGTGGGTCTTGGGGAGACTGGACATGGAGTGGTAGGGACAGGAGGCAGGGGGCTGGTCAGGAAACCGTGGGGGCCACTGAGGCAGGGAGATGGACAAGGAAGTGAATTCAGAAGAAACTTCTAGAGTTAGCAGCGAGTGGACTTTGTGGTTGGATGCAGGTGGTGAGGGCAGCGGGGAAGTTGAGGAGGAAAGTAGGGGCGTGTGAGAGGTGGGTGACTTAGGATGGCCCTGTTGGGGACTGGGAAACCTGCATGAGGTGTTGGAACGGGGGCTGTCATTCCTCAGATCAGGAACATAGAAGGTAGAGGAAGAGAAAACGCATTAATTTAAAAAAAACACACAACATTTTTATTGATTTCAGAGAGAGAGGAAGGGAGAGGGAGAGGGAGATAGAAACATCAATGATGAGTCATTGATCGGAGGCCTCCTGGACGTCCCCTGCTGGGGATGGAGCCCGCAGCCCGGGCATGTGCCCTGACCGGGAATGGAACTGCGATCTCCTGGATCAACCACTGAGACACACCGGCCGGACAAAAAAGCATTAATTCTTGCATCTGCAGTGAAACAGTGACAACGAGGAGTGGGGTGCAGAAGGGAGAGGCAGGACCATGGGGTGCTTAGTGGGAGGTGTGGGCAGAGAAAAGACTCAGCTCAGACTTCGCACAAGTGGCAAGATGTGCAAGTCATCTCCCTCTGGGAACTCTGGCTCCTGCACCTGAACAAGGGGCTACCGTGCCTCCTCCTCAGGTTGTATTGGCTAAAGGGCTGATGGCAGGTGACCACCCCACTGCTTACAGCTGTGTCACCCCANCTCGTGCCTCCTCCTCAGGTTGTATTGGCTAAAGGGCTGATGGCAGGTGACCACCCCACTGCTTACAGCTGTGTCACCCCACAAGGCCCTCGTCCCTGGCCGAGCTGCCTGTTGGTCACAGTAAGATCCCTTCAATCTCATCTCTCAGGACATCAGCTATGCGGCTTCCCAGGCCAGAAGGGGCTCCAAGGAGGGGGCTCAACGTGGCCATGGGCACCATGGTCAGGGGCATGCTGGGTCAAGGGTCAGTCTGCAACCAGAGAAGGGGCACAAGACTGACTTTCCAGTGTTGCCCTGAATGGATCCGGTGCTTCTACATTGGAAACATGCTGGCACATATGGTTTCATGAGAACATAGATGCAAACACATGCACACAGGCATGTGCTTGAATGAACGTGTACTCAGCAGACACATCCCCAGACGCTCCCCATTTCCCATGCCTTCTGAGGGTGGCGCCTCTTTCCCTGGCTCCAGCCTCCAGTGCCCACGCACGGGGTTCTGTGAGGGTGAGCTGCTGTCCTCGTGCAACAAGTGCTGGCATCTTGGGTTCCCCATGAGGTGATGAAGCTGCAGCATTGCTCCTTCCCCCAAAGAAGCCACTGTCTGGGGGGTGGAGGGGCTCAAGTTCATGTACATTTGGTTGTTCTAATGCAGGCAGGCTGAGCACCCCACCTGGAGACCTGGTTGATAATTATAGACGTGGCTGTGGGCAGTGGGCCGTCTACACAGGAGAGGAGATGTGGTCCTTCTGGGCCTGGCAAGTAGGGAGGGTTTTCTGTTCAAGTGTCAGCCCTAGAGTTTAGAAGCACGAACGTGTGCGTGCTGAACTGTAATGTGTTCTTTGCTATGGGGCAGCTTAAATTCTTTGGAAAGAAAGACTCTGGACCTTTATTCTCTATCGGACTGAATTTGTTGTACAGTAATTGAGTTGCACTTTTTTGGGGGACAGGGGGTAAACCCCCTCTCTCATGTGTCCCAAACGGAACTCATTTGCAAAAGGTCCACACAGTGTCAGCCTGGCTCCATGGACTGAGGAGTCCTGGCTCCAGTCCACGTCCCAGCCGAGACTTGGATGCGCTGCTCACCCTGCCGGAGGCTCAGGCGACAGCCTTCTGAAGGGGTGAAAGGAGATCACGTGTCAAACACCAGGGGCCTGGCACAGAGGAGGGAGCTAAGAACCGCTGTGTCCTGAGTGACCTAATGGGTGGAGCAGAGGGCACCGAGTCACTGCATAGCACACACAGTGACTGGCAGCGGGAGAGAAACAGAAGGCAGGGCCCTGACCGGAGACGGGCCAGCCGCACAGCCTGCTCTTCCTCCCCCTGCGCTGCACCCGCCGCCCTCCCCCTCGAGGTGAGTCTGCAGTCTGGGTTCGCAGGGAAGGTCTTAAGCAACCCGGGCAACAGACCCCAGACTAGGATCCAGACCCCGGGCTGCGGGTGAGAGCATCAGTTCTGCCAAGAAGGTTGTCGAACGGGTGGAGTAGACCCATGAACGTCGGTGAGCACGCTGCCACTGATCTCTGACACTCTCCCCACCGGTGAGATGCCTTTGGTGCATCTTACCGGTGGGGACAGTATCAGATCAGTTCTGCTTGTGTTGGGGGGAGGGGCGTTGGCAACATCAATGGGGCCAACAGATCATTTCTCACAATACCCGTAAGAGCCACCATTTATTGAGTTCCATCTCGGTACTAGGCACTTTAAGCAATTTCAACTCATAGATTCTCACAGCCACCGGCTAGGCCGATGTCATTTCCCATGCCTTTCCGCATGCGCACACTGGGTTTGCCCAAACCCAAGGCCCCTAAGCCTGTGAAAGTGTCAGGAGCTGAACCCAGGTTGATGTTTCTCCTCCTGGGACAGCTCTGTGCGCCCTGGGAGCTGCACTTCCAGGACCGTCAGGGGAGAACCCTGAGCACCTGTACTGACCAGGGGACAGAGAGCTGCTTCTGACTCCGGTGCCCACGGGCCAGCTCTGTGACATCTGACAAGTCTGCCGCGCCTCATCTGCCATCCCGTCTACGTCGCCGGGTTCTTACAAGAATGAAATGTGTGGGAAAGTGCCGGGAAGCGGAGACACACAGACCACGCTGATGGCCTGCTGGGCGGGGGTGGCGGTGATGACAGGGACAACCCTGAAGGTCCGTGGGGCACAGAGCTGCCTCCGGTCTGGACCATTTTCTCCAGTTCTGTCAGATGGGAATGACATGAACATCTAACTTCTCCGAGCCAGTGTTTTGAGTTCTTTTTGAGTGTCCTTGTCGAGGCCCTGGAGGAAGACAGAGGCCAGTCTTGGCGCTGGTACCGGGAGGCCCGGAGTTGGAGGAGCCTTCACACTCTTGTGCCTTCCCTGTGCTGCAGGGCCCAGAGCTCCTGGGGACTCAGGGTCATAGCTCCAGAAGTGAGCCAGGCCTAGAGTGGTGGTGACAGGTGGGCACTGTAAGGGGGGCAGACCGTGGGGCCCTGGTGTGGGCCTCTCCTCTTCTCTGGGTCCCTCCTCAGTAGTGCACGCAGTACAGCTGGATGGTGCCGCTGATCCGCAGTTCCCGCAGCCGCTCCAGGGCCTGCTGCTTCAGGCTGGTGGCCCCCAGGCCCTGCCCATTGAGTGCCAGCTTCAGCTCTCCTTCCTGGCACAGGAGCAGAACCTGGCAACAGAGGGCGTGAAGCCTGTAGGCTTCCTGATGGACCCTCCGCCCCTGCCCAATGCCCTACCCAGGGAGCCCTATTCCCTTCACACTGGGCCGGTGGAGCACCCAGTTCTGCAACCGAACAGACTAGGGCCCAGCTGGTCACCAGCCCTTCCACGAGGATCTTCTCGGCTCTGGGCCTCAGTTTCACCATCTGTAACAGAGGCTGCTTCCTTGGAGGAGAGGTTCTCAATCCTGACTGGAATCTTTAGGGGGGCTTTCTGGTAACCCTGGTGCCAGGGCCCACACCCGATCGATTAAACCTGGGTTTCTGGGCATGGGACACCTGGCACCAGTGTAGAGGGTTGAGAACCCTGGTATGGAGGTTCTCCCTGGAACACTCTCCCCACCTCAGTGTCCCAGATGGAAATGCTTGGCTCTGACCCACCTCGAAGAACCGCTGTGGGTAGAATAGAAAGGGGGCCAGGATCAGCTTCTTCCGTCCCCAGGGTGAGACCCAAGCCAGCGTTCTGTCTGCGAAGGAGGCCCTGAGTGTCACAGGAACACGAGCAGCCTCATCCAGGAGGCTCAGCGTGAAACTGTGGGAAGGGGCCGAAGAAGGGGCTCAGCTTCCGGAGCCCCCAGGCCATGGCGCCCCGACTCCTCCGGGCTGTGGCTGCTGGACCCCGAGGGGAGGGATGGAGGCTGGAAGATTGGGCAGATTCCCCCCCAGAAACCAGCTCTTGGACACCTGGCAGCTCAGAGTGGAAATAGCTGCTTGAGCCTCACACCTGAGACTGAATCCCCACATCGCCACTCACTGGCTACAGGATCATGGGGAGGCAAATGACCACCCCCGAGCCTCAGTTTCTCCTCTTCAAAATGGGCATAATTATGGTATTAGTGATAGCTAACATTTACTGAGCATATGTGCCCGGTGTTGTAAGTGTTTTGCAAACAGCACAGGGGTTAGAGTGAGGCTGTTCGGATTCAATCCTGGCTCTGCCACTTTCTAGTCCTGTGACCCTGGGCAAGTCAATGTCTCCGTGCCTCAGTTTCCTCATCTGTAATGTGGGAATAACAGTGCTGCATCTGCCTGTGGGGTTGTGATGAGAATTAAATGAGTTTACACATTTAACTCAAAATGCTTAGAAAAGCAGCCACTGTACAATAGCACTCAAATCATACCTATTGTTTAAAAAATACTACTATAAAATAATTTTAAAAATACTATAGCCCTAGCTGGTTTGGCTCAGTGGTTAGAGCATCGGCCTGTGGACCAAAGGGTCATGGGTTAGATTCCTGGTCAAGGGCACGCACCTTGGTTGCAGGCTTGATCCCTGGCCCAGTTAGGGTGCATGTGGGAGGCAACCAATCGATGTGTCTCTCTCACATCGATGTTTCTCCCTCTCTTTCTTCCTCCCACTCTCTCTAAAAAGTCAACGGAAAAAAATATCCTCCAGTGAGGATTAACAACAACAAAAATACTATAAAATACTTCTCAGGGCCATTGAGAGGAACAAAGGCTATGATGTTTGTGAAGTTTAGCAAGTACCTGGCATGCAGTAGGTGTCTTATAGTACCTGGCATGCAGTAGGTGCATCATTAGCTTTTCTGGACTCCTCACAGAAATCCTGTGCCTGAGGCCCATCAGCTCATTTAAGGGAGGGGACAAGAAATTAAAGGACTCTGTTACTCGTAAAAGCTGTGGGGCTTCAGGTTGAGATGTGAACCAGGATTCAGGACTCCAGGCAAGGGGGCCTTTCTGCTGCCTGGCAGCCTCCTCTCAGGCAGGGCAGCCAGATTCTGTGTCATGTCTGGGGGCTTCCAGAGCCACTTCTTTGAAACAACAGCCCTGAAGCTGCTGACTGTGCCCTTGACCAGGAATCGAACCCGTGACCCTTTGGTGTGCGGAACAACACTCTAACCACTGCACTGCCCGGCCAAGGCAGAGGGGAAGGTGCTCCTTATCGCCAGGAACCATTTTGTTTTCCCCATAGGGCTGGGATTTTGTTTCTCCTTGTTTTTTTCTGATGGGGAAACTCAGGACTCCTGACTCAGAGAGGAGCAGTGACTTGCACAAGACCACACAGTTTATAAGAGGGAAAATCAGAAATCCAGCCCAGTTGGGCCTGGCTTTGGAGGTGCATGCTATCCAGGGTTGTGCTTGCCACAGAATTCAGGATCATGCAGGGCAGGGGTTTAGTGAGGTCAGTGACTTCAAACTCAGAAACAGAACAGGGGAGAAAGAGCTGGGAACAGAGCGCGCCCCTGACTCCCGGCTCCCTGCCCCTTCACCCCTCCACCCCTTCACCAAGAGAAATCTGATACCACCCAGGTGTGGAACACTGGCTGCTGGCACACTTATGCGCATTTACACCACCTCTGAGGGCAGCGCTATCATTATCCCTTATAGACAAAGAAACTGAGGCACAGAAAGGAAAAGCAATGCCTGCAAGTTGCACAGGTAGTAAGTGTCCTCAGCAAGTCAAACTCAGGCAGGCAGTATGGCCCAGAAGTCAGGAAATCCAATGCAATTCCAGAAAAGGAAAAAAGGAAGGAGGGAGGGAGGGAGGAAAATAAAAAGAAACAAAGAAAGAAAGAGAAGACCCTTTTTTAATTGCCTTTGAGCCTGCAGGTTTGGCGAATGGAGCGGGAGCGCCCCCTGGGGGATAAGTCAGGCAGCATCTACTTGATTACCGAGTCCCTGCAAGTCCTCACTTCCCGCGCCAGGCCTCCCTGGGGCCGCCTAGCTGCATTTCCTAAACCATGCACTATGTCACCGTTGGTCGCATCCTCTCTCTGATCCTCTGCTGGAGCCTCTCAAGGGCCCTTCCTGAGGCTCCAGGGAGGACCTGCGATGAGAGGCTGTTGGCCTCACCACATTTACAGGCAGGGAAGATACTCCCAGAGCTGGGGCTGCAGGGGCCATGAAGGCAGCCTGAGCCCTGGTCCCAGTCCCAGCCTGCCTTTTGCAAGTTCCGCAACCCTGAACAGCTTACTTCTCCTCTGCTCCTCTGTCTGCTTACCTGCGAAATGGGGATTAAATGGGGGCTTTGGAGACTAGAGAGGCAATGTGTATAAAGCTCATGCCTGGCTCGGGGACGCTTCTCCCTCCCTTCATCTGCATACTTACTCCTTTGGCTCTGGCAGGACCAGCCCTCGCAGCACGATGACCTGTCCTGGCCAGAGACCCCGGGGAAGGGGACGTGAGCAGGGCACCTCCTGAAGGAACAGGGGAGATGACTGAGAAGGGGACTCACAGAGATGCTCAGTGAGGACTGCCGCCCCCAGGAGCAGCTTTGAGGGCCACTCTCAGGGGCTGGGGGCCCTGAGCAGGTAAGTCTCTGCTTCTGGGCCTGCAGCCAGAAGGGGACTCAGCTCTGCTCATTTATTAGACACCTACTGCAAGCCTGGCCTCCTGCACTCTGCTCCCCCTGGCCTTTCGAGGCTGAGCTTGGTGTCCCTCTGTGCTGTGAGCACCACGTATGCCCCTATCCTGCACCGGAACTGTAATGGCCCATTCATTGGTCTGCCTCCCCACCAGCCCGTAAGCAGCTAGAGGCCTGGGGACTGGCTTGTCCCTCTCTCCTAGAGCCTGGCACTGAGCCTGGCACCAAAGATATCAAATAATTGTGTGCAGAATAGATGTAGACAAGGTCAAATGGAGCTGCAGCTTCGTCCTGAAGGGGCCACCGGCCCACAGCCTGCACTTTTCTATGAAGGGAGGGAAAACCCTGATGCCAAGGGTTTTCCAGGTGGGGGTGCCCTCCTACCCCTGGCAAGGCAGGTGGGGGGCTCTGCCTCCACCAGAATGGGGAGGGAGCTGACTCACCAGTCTGGGGCTCTCCAGCAGGAAAGGCTGTCAAGGAAAGAAGGGGGGATGCAGAGGTCATGCACATTTGCTCAGTGAAAGGGAAGCTCTTGATGTTATTATTAACAATTGGGGATCTTTGGGGTTTGTCTCTCAGGGACAATACAGGTGGATGATTGGCGCCCCAGTGGGATCCTCCTGAATTCAGACAGACACCAGCTCTGGAAAACTGGATGGAGGAAGAACTGGGTGGAGGGCCTGTCACTCACTCACCACGTCGCCCTGGGCAAGTACCTGAGCCTCATGTCCCCCTCTGCCCCGCAGGCCAGCCCAGCTACCTCGTGGGCTTACTCTGGGAATTGGAAGCTCCAATCTAAAGGGATCTTCTGATATAAATACCTGGTCCTGCCCCTTCAGGGGAAATCCCTGCCCACCC